ATTCTAATTTTTTTGAAAAATTAGAACCAATTTTATTGTAATTTTTGGAAATTATGAATTTTAAAGAATTATTCATTAATCTTTTCAACAAAACTACACCCTATTCTTCACCATCTACAGCAGCAAATATGGAAAAAACATTATGTTAGTCATTTTCTATATCTTTACAAAACTAATTTCCCATGAATTTTTGTAAATTTCGATGTGAACAAAATTTCTGATCATATGGCAGCAAATAAGGGAAAGAGTTATTATTGTAAATTTTTATTTCTTTGGTATACCTAGTTTTCTGGAATTTTAGCATATGTTGGGTATACCAAAATTTCTGATCAATTTAATTTGATCTGAGTCTTAACTCTTCATCATCTACAGCAGTTCATATGGAAAGAAAATTATGTTAGTCATTTCTAATGTTATTGAAAATGTTAACCACACATCACATTTTCATCAGCTTTAATATCAAATACGAAAAAAAAACTATTATTGTAAATTTTTCTTTGGAAAGACGATGTTTTCGGAAAGGTTTGCGTATTTCAGGTTGAGCAAAATTACTAATTAATTAATTAGCTGCATAGCAGCAGCTATAGAACTGCATTCTATTCCTTATCTTCTACTGCTATAAATAAGTTTGTCATTTCCAATTTCTTTGGTACATCAATTTTCCAGGAATTTTTGCAAATTTCGAATTTAGCAAGATTTCTGAATTTAATTCTATCTGCAACGTATTTTCATCATATATAGCAGCAAATATAGAAAGAAAATTATTATTACCAATTTTTAATTTGTTTTTTTTTAATTTATTATAATTCCAGTTGAGTAAAATTACTGAACAATATAATTTAACCTGCATTGCATTCTTCATCATCGACAGTAGGACACACGCAAAAAAATCTTTGTCATTTTTTGCGTTGGACAAAATTCCTGATCAAGTTGTTCTCAACTGCATCGTATTTCCTATCATCCGCAGTAGCAAATCGTAAGATTTTTTTTCATTTTTTCTTTTCAAATGGTTTTCCAGAACTGTTGCACATTTCGAGTTAAGCTCAATTTCATCAAATTCAATTGAAGCTACATCGTATTCCTTTTCAGGAAATACGGAAAGATGCCTTTTTAAAACGCATCATTTTTTAAAATCAGGTGGTAAAGTGGTGCACTACTATCATGCTCTCTATACATATACAGGTGTCCCACGTAACTGGTTCGTTCGAACTTTTTAGGTTCCACTATTCGTACAGTTTTGAAATTTTGGTTATAGGGGTTTATCGTCCAAAATTATCGATTTAAAATATTTTCAAGATGGCCGCCACTTCCGGTCTACCGGAAGTAGACCATAACTTCGTTATTTTAAATGGAATGTCATAGTTTTTATTACACCCTTTAATTATATGTGAAAAATATCATGATTTTGATACAACTAAAATGATTTGATTTTTTGATTTTTTTGTAATTATCGTTTTTCGTTTTTGAGTTATTTTGATTTTAATTTTTGTTTGAAAAATTTCGTCATGCTCTTTAAATCTCCATTTCACATTCTCGAAAATTTTAAAATATTTTAAAGTGTATAAAATGACTTAAATATTTCAATTAATATTTTTAAATAATAATTTTTTAACGTGATAGAAAAAATTTTTCGAATTTTGTTGTACTTTTACTGGTTTATTTATATTTTTGTTGTCTAACTAGTTTCGGCAAAAGCCATCATCAGAGACAAAAGTCATTGTATCTTACAGGAATATAATTTATTTAAATAATTTTTTAAATATTTAAATAAATGTGGTTATAGAAAAATAATTTCCCGAAAATGGTTAGGAATTAAAAGATCACATTTTTCAGGCTATAAAGAAACCTTTGAAGTTAGTTCGTAGTGAAAATATTATATAATATTATATTTTCGAAAGGTAATGTGATTCTAAAAGACAGCTGTGTCATCACTTCGTTAGGAGTTAAGGAGCCACTTCCGTTTGACAGATGTCCATTTTAGAATAATACCCATATTAGAAGTTTCTTTACTACAGTTATTTGCGTTTTTCAGTTATCCAGTTTACACACATACAATACCTTCCCTTTATAGATATCGTATATGCAAGAAAATAAAAATAGGAAATATACATAAAATGGTGCTTAGATGATCCTATATTGTGTTCAGCACTTTTTATCTAATACACGAATTATTTGGAAGGTTTGTCAATCAGGAACACGATGGTTGGGAAAAGTTTTAATGTATGAATATATATTCCCTAAAGGAATTTTGATCGGCAAGTTCATACGTAAATTACAGGGCAGTCATGTCGATGTTAGTTTAGCACTGTGAGAGGCATTAATAAATCACAAACAGAAACTGCTGTCAACTCTAACATGGTTTGTATACTCAACTGATGGCTACCTTTAAATTTTAAAATACCTTTGCTTTTGTGCATAACAACTACAGACATGAACAATATCTAGTAATGAATAAATTATAGTAAGAATAAATAAGAGGAATAAAAATATTAGGTTTAGGTGTACATGGATTATGTAGAGATAGAATTGGTTTGATAGGGTAGGATTGACTTCGAATTAGACATAATTCCCAGTTATGAAATTGTGGATTATCTTTTGGTAATTTCTTACCAACTATTTTTGTTAATACCATTGTTCATTTTTCAGTTATAAATCCTTTTGTTCTTGAATGTGTTAAATTTGAAGTGCTTGAAATATTATGTTCGCTAGGTTGGTAATAATCATTAACGGGTTATATTAACAATTTTCATCCACAATATTATTTCCTAGCATATTTAGTTTTCGAGTTGCAATAAAAATTGTTATTCAAAAGCGTCAAGTTAAAAAGTTAAATATTATAGGGTTTATAACTAACCACGTGAATTAGTTGGAAAAAAACACGATTGTGGATGATGTTTTTGCACTTTATTGCCAACAATTTTTGTTAATATTCACTCGAACAATTCTTACTTTCTTAGATCACAATAATTTTGATGGAGGTCAAAAACGAAATGAGATGTTATACAACAAACTTCTTCTTTAAAAAGTAGATACTTTAGTTATTGATTAGAAAGACTTTCATACAAACTGTCTGTGAAATCGATTTTCCACGAATTTTTGTAATTAATTAACTCGATATATTAAAAATTATCAAAATTTCGATTGAGTTTAAAGTTTTGTATCTCAAAAACGAAAAGAGATTTTTTAAAACAAACTTATTCATTGAAAAGTAGATTCTTATTCTTAGATTCTTAAGTAGATGCTTTAATTAGTAATTAGCAATAGTTTCATACAAATTCTCTGTGAAATCGATTTTCCACGAATTTTTGACATTAACCCTCAAATATTTTAAATTTGTCGAAACTTCGATTAAGTTTAAAGACTTGTATCTCAAAAACGATAACAGATCTTTTAAAACAAACTTATTCATTGAAAAATAAATGCTTTAATTAGTAATTAGAAATGGTTTCATACAAATTCTCTGTGAAATCGATTTTCCACGAATTTTTGACATTAACCTTGCAAAATTACAAATTTATCGAAATTTCGATTGAGTTTCAAGACTTGTATCTCAAAAACGAAAAGAGATTTTCTAAAACCAACTTATTCATAAAAAAGTAGATGCTTTAACTAGTAATTAGTAATAGTGTCATACAAATTCTTTCTGAAATCAATTTTCTACGAATTTTTGACATTAACCCTGAAAAATTACAAATTTATCGAATATTCGATTGAGTTTCAAGACTTGTATCTCAAAAACGAAAAGAGATTTTTTAAAACAAACTTCTACATTGAAAAGTAGATGCTTTAATAAGTAATTAGTAATAGTTTCATATAAATTATCTGTGAAATCGATTTTCCACGAATTTTTGACAATAACCCTGAAAAATTACAAATTTATCGAAACTTCGATTGAGTTTCAAGACTTGTATCTCAAAAACGAAAAGAGATTTTTTAAAACCAACTTCTTCATTGAAAAGTAGATGCTTTAGAACCAAAAATAATTGAACTTTATGTATTTAATTCTCGCTAAACATATTTTGGGTTACCAAGTATATTTTCTAAAGATGTAATTTAAGTCCCTGTAACTTGTAGTAACTTGATATAGATCAGATTTATAGGGCTTTAAAAAAGTTTTAGGGTTACTTGAGTTGTTGTGATTTTTATGGTTTGCTGTGACAACTTTTACAACTATGTATTTAATTGGTATAAATATAGGGCATTTAAATAACAAACCAGAAACCAATTTTGCTATTAGAAATCTTAAAACAGCCATTTTTGATTACAGAATATGTTCATTTTAAGGTAGGGATTTTTATTATTTTAAAACATAAAACTCTATTTCTGACATAAAAAACTTTTTATATTATAGCAGCATGCAAATAAGGGTTCGGTCTAGATTTGTCGTGACCGATAACACTTCCTACTATAATAATGCGATACAAGCTTTCGCTTGAATTCCTGCAAAGCAAGAACAACGAACAGAAAAAAAAAACCAGTTAAAATAAAAAATGAACCAAATTCTGTTTACAAATTATAACACATGTTGTTTGGCAAAATTCATTTTCCATCTGGCAGATTTTGGCACCAATTTTTCCTCAAACGTTAAATTTTCCTCTATAATAATTTTTTTTTTTCGTTTTTATATTATTTATTTATTTTTGTTTTGAAATGTTTTCTCTACGCACCCATAGAATTTGAATAGCGGCGCGTTTGTTGTCTTTGAGAACGTGCTAATTGTATCAAGATGTTCTCAGACATCTGTCACGAGGAAGCCTAAATTTAAACCGTTATGGGACCGCGGCTTTTTTTATGGGATAGAATCTAAAATTGGGTGAGAGATTATTTGATGACCTCGATAAAGAAAACAAACGTTGTTGCCGCGACGTTGATGTACGACTTTCAAAGAGGAGTTTATCTTGTCTATGTGTCTCTTTTACGTGTAATACAGACCTCGTTAACTCGAACGAAAGTACCGTAACTTTCTACCGAGAAGTTAGTTTAATAAAAAAAATTATTACCCAATAGATTCTTCTTTAACAATTCCTAAAACAGTAGGAGTTGCTGTTGATTCCGCGGTGGTTGTGGTGTCTCTAGTTTCAGCGGCTGAAGTCGTAGCAATATCCTCAATATCTGAATCAATCCCTTTGTCCAGGTCCATATAGAACGAATCCCTGGAATCACTTGAACCCCTCCTCAGCTTCAAACTGAGATCAGGCGAACTATCTTCCATTCTTTCGTTTTTATTTTTACAAAACAAAAAAATCTTTCAAAAATACCCAGTTACTTGCATTTTTATTTCAAACATTCCATTCAAAATTTCTTTTTTTCCCAAATCCTTTGGGTTCATTTCGTTTCAAAAAGAAACTCGTCATCTCTTCGAAAAAAAAAAGACAACGAATAACAGACGTGACCCCGACAAAAACTCGCGACGAACTGAAAACACGAGCTGAATGGAACCCGCTGCTGAACAGGCTGCCGTGCGCAGTTCACGATCAACGCAAGGAGGAAGCTCGTTGGAGTTCATCGCTATGCGACGAACTGTGTGTGTGTGAGTGGAAACGGTAGCATGGTGGAAGAGGAAGCGGGGCGAAGAGTGGCCTCGAGGGTGCGAGCCAAGGGAGCCTGAAAAACAAAGGGCACAAAAGCCTATTCAGTTATGAGTCGTCGGTCGACCCCTTCCTGCTGCCTACGTACCGATGTTAATTACTTTCGGCAGGTTGACTTTTAAACACCTCTTTTAAAGTGATTGAAAATAGAGAGTAATTAGCTAGAAGAGTTGGAATGTAGTGTCTTTTAGATTTAAAGCAATTTTTGATGTTGTTTTTGAGATATATAAAGATAATTATCTGTAACATCATGGTTAAATTGAATTATGACAAAAGTTTGAGGTTGACCTTCTCGAAGTTACAAAAAATTGATTGAGATTAGGTTATGCCAGCGTTTCCCAAACTTTTTAATTACGGCCCGGTACGAGATTTTAAAATTTTCCACCTTATGAAAAAAAAAACATTTATTTAGAAAACAAATTTTATTTGTTGATAAAAATCAAGTTTATTGACACGATAAAAATAGCAGTAGCCATAAGTCAATTATTTTAAACAATTTCCAAAGTGTGTCAAAAAGTGATATAGTAAAACTTATTGAAGTGTGGTGGCGCACCAACTTGTTGAAATAACTGCCGTTGGAGTTGAGTTGAGTCAACATTATGAAATTATCGTTTTGAAAAAATCTAAAGATCTCTCTCCAGTCAAGGTTTCCTCAAAAAAGGAAGGTCCCAGGATAGTATGCCCTACTATTTCGCTGCACACATTGATCTTTTGCAAATATTGGGTGTGCAACTTTCTTGCCTAATGTGGACTTTGGGTAGCCCAATACCGACAATTTTCTATATTTACTTGTCCACTCAATGTAAATGTTTCCTAGTCGGAAAAAATCACGAACTGATTTTCCATGACGTATTCTTCCACAAATGATCTGTAGATTTTCGATAAATTTGGCATAATATGTGATTAATCCCAGAAAAAAACGCAATTATGAGACATTTTTTGCTCAATCATGTAAATGGGTAATGTTACTGTTCTTCTATACCAGTATACGCTACAAGATTGTTCGTAGGTTGTAACTTAGGTTTTCCCAGGTTTTTACATACTATTTTACCTATTACGGAATATGCAACTCCTGGACCATAAAGCATTTGACAATCCTTGTTTTCAATCTTAACTGTTAACATTACTTTCTTTGATGTTCGTATGTTACATAGAGATGAAGTATCTGAGCTTGTTCCGTTGTCAGATGATGACTCATCGTTTGTTTTTGTTGTTACGTTTCGCGTGTTTGCAGTTTAATTTTTGTTTAACGTTATTTTTCCTGAAGAAATGCAAACTTTCGCAAAATATCCTTTCTTCCCGCACGAAGAACAGGATTTATCCTTAGCTGGACAAGCTTGTTCAAGTTGTTGTTTTCGGCCCAAAGATTTAGGTATTCTTTCCGACTTTTGTTCGTATTTGTTGAAGTTTTGTTTTGTTACTTGGTATGTATGTTCTAATTAATTTTGTTGAGTAAGTAAAGTCTTTGTCGTCGTTGCAAAATTGTTATTACAAAAACTAGGACTCATTGTTGTGGAATGGGGATATAGGAATGATATTTTGCGGCTTTCTTGCCAAGCCTAAACCGCGTTTTGAGGAATCTCCCCTGAAACATTTCGTCGGCCAGACTTCGACAAATCTCGTAGATGCCTATGCCTTTTAAATTTAGTCATAACTAGGCGTACCATATATTTGCTATTTTAGATTCCAATTTCTTCGTGGTATAGTAATTATCAAAGTGTAGTAATTATCATACTTTGTCTAATGAGTTGGCAATCAGGATATGTTGTATTAAAGGCGAGTAACAGGCGAGTTTAACACTTTTTGAGGAAACCTTAACTGGAGAGAGATGTTTAGATTTTTCAAAACGATATCACAATGTTGACCCAACTCAATTCCAACGGCAGGTGTACCAACAAAAGCCACACTTTAGTAAGCTTTAGTAAATCACTTTTTGACACATAGGAATTTTTTTAAATAATTGGTTACCAAGTTACTCATAGCTACTGCTTTTTATCATGTCAAGCAAATTTGAAGTAGGTTCTTATGTAAATGGTTGACCTCGACTAGATTCGCGTATCTCCGTATCTTGTTTTTGTGCAAGTCTACGTGTAAGCGTAATTTCAAGTTGAATCGTGTTCATTCATGAGCACAGTTTCGATAAAGAAGAGTTCAAGAAGTGTTCAAAACTGTCAGAGCCTAAAGTGTTGTTGCCGTTTGATAGACGGGTTGTTAGTGACTACGTAATAAATTCGTTACGATGGATTCCAAACCAAGTTGTTCAAAACGCATAAAATTAGGTTATCCTTGCTTAGATTGCCTGCTAAGTGGAAACTAATCACAGTGATAAGGATAACGACATCGATGAAAATTTGGTTATAAACTGCGAACTGACGGAGAAGCTGATAAAGAAAACAATGAAGAGCAGAGAATCTGCACAGGTTGCTACTACGATAAGAACAAATTCAAGTGGAGTTGCGTTACACCTTCGTCAAACAAAGGAAGACGTCGAAAGGAAAATATAGTTATTCAGTTACCTGGATTGCGTCCTCCAGTGCGAATAGGCGACTGTTCTGATGTTCCCACTTGTTGGAAGTTTAAATTTAGTGATGAAATTTGTGAAGTAATACTAAAGTGGATGCACCTGTCCAAAACCATTTCACCAGGGAGTCGTGTAGTCATAGTTTTATGCCAAACATAATTCCAGAAGCTACGAGGATCAGAGCGTAGTGACTGCTCAGCATTTCTTGTAAAGGCTATATACGAATCAGCCATTTTTTGCTTTGTCAAGTATCTCAATCTGCCAAACTCTGCATGATAAAAATCACATTTAGTTCTCTTCCACTTTCTTCTATAGAATACTTTTAACTTTAAAAGATTTTTAATTTCAGGAGTGTACCAAATAGCGTATTTAGAAGTATGATACACTTTTTTCGGAACAAATTGATCCAATAGTTCATGGATCTTCATGTAAAATAACCGCGCAACATCATCAACATCTACGCACTTATCAAGAAAGGACCAATTTGTTTCGAGGAAATCACCATACAAGTCATAAAAATTGGCTCTGCGAAAATTATATCGACTGCCAAAAGCTGGAAAATTGGATTGATTGTTACTATGTGCGAGTAAGATTATGGTAATATTTAAGGCGTGATGATACAAATCTTCAGATACAAGAGGCAGGTCATCACGAACGAGTTCGAACTGATGTTCAGTGTTAGTTAAAACTAAATCCTTTGTTTTCCAAATGTTGCAGAAAAACCCTTTTTCTCCGAAATAGAGTTGAATTGAAAAATAAAATCTCTTTGATGTTTAAAAATGTTGCTCGAGATTACGTTATACCAAATTTAAAGTTTTTATCTTGAACGGTGTCATTACAAAAATGCTTTAACAATCGCCGGTTTGAATTCCAGGTTTTTTTTATATGACGTTACGGTTTAAAATTAAGAAATTAAACTTTTTAAGAATATAGCAGAATGGTTATGGTTAGATTATCTCAAATTTTAAGATTCACCCACAAAGTGTTTTTTATAAATTTAATTATTAAAAATCATTAATTTCAATTTGACGGTTTTGGAAAATGTTGTTGAAGAAAAACCCTTTTTTCTACGAAATAGACTTGAATTGAAAAATAAAATGCTTTTGATGTGTAAAAATGTTACTTGCGATTATGTTATACTAAATTTAAAGTGTTCATCTCATTACAAAAATGTTTTACCAATCCCCACTGTGTGAACCAAAACTGTGTCAAAAATCGAAAATCATTGCAATAATTGTTTTTCATGCTGAAATCATTTAATAACTGTGGATCAAATACATATTTTCGACATTACTACGTTTTCCGCAAAAAATATACAGGATGATCCAATAAAAATTCAAAAAATAGAACAACTGAAACTTATTCAAAAAACAAACGCAATTTTAAACAAAATAATTAGTAATACGAATTAAACACAGAAATATATTACTAAACATAATCGGATTGGACCTCATCATCGTCGTTACTTTACGGTCCACCAGGTTCTTCATTTTCCGAATTTTCGTTTACGTTTATATATGGATTGATTAATAGTGCTATAATATCTGGCGTTAGTTTTCCTTTCTTAAAAATCGGTCTTAAAAATGATGTTATCGAGTCCGAAGATATTAATAATAATACTTTATTCCCCCCATTTTACCAAAAAAGCGTAGAGTACGTCAATTTAATAATAATTGCATTGTAATATAATACACATTGAGTTCAAACATTAAATTGGAAAAACATGTCAATGGTATACATCGGATTTTCCGTGACAATAGCTCTCAGTCTTCTCCGGAATCCTGGAACTGGCAGGATCTTTGTACCTTCCGAAATGTGATTGAAGATGTTGATACTCTGGTACACAGCCGTCTTCTGAATCTTAGTAAGGTGCGTTTTTGATGACACCAGATAGCACTTCACCTTCCCGCGCGTGTTTCGAGGATGTGATATCTCATATTTTTTGAAAAATTCAAAGTAATTCTTGCTAACCAATACAGCACATTCCAGAATATAAATTCCATACAAGGTAGGTATTTTATAGTCTTTAAAGTAACTTCTACAACTATCAGTATTAATTCCTCTTACACACCTCTTCTGTAGTATAAAGATTCTATCTATACCAACACCACGGCCCCAAAAGACAACTCCATATCTTAGCAGGGAATGGACATAAGCATAATAGGCACTTAATGCTGCCTCAATGCCAGCTGATCTGGAAATAATGGCATAGGAGAAATGACTGATCTTGCCAGCAAGGAAATCAATATGGTTGGTCCAAGACAATCCAGGATCCATTTTCCAACCCAGAAACGAAATCTCTTCAACATTGGCAATCTCAGTATCCCTATACCTCGCTTTGATCTGGTCAGAGCATAAATGATAATTAAC